GGGGCTCCCACCCCCCAGTCCTCCCTCCTCCCGGCCTGTGCTCCCACTGGGGGCTCCCACCCCCCAGTCCTCCCTCCTCACCTCCCACTGTCCCAGGGGGTGTGGTGGGGAGTGACAGCTGGAAGGCACATAATCCCTGAGGACAGCGATCAGCACGCCTGCCAGAAACCAGTTCCGGGTGACGTTTGTTCCTATTCATGACGAGCATGTCTCGTACCCAGCACCCCGTCTCCAACCCCATGGCCACTCGGACCAGGCCGCCCACCCCTCTCTCCCGGGACCCTCTGAGCTGCACGACCCGGCTGGCTGGACGCTGTCCGATGGCCACCCCCCTCAGTCTAGTCCACAGTGTGGGGTTCTTTCATGCCCTCCCCGCTTTTTCTAAGAAGAAAGCAGCCTTTCAGGGAGCTGTGCCCGCTGGAGTCAGGCCCTATGTGGGTCACAGCCGGCGCGGGAACCGGTCGGCCTGGGTTTCCCAGGTGGGGCTGCGGGATCCCCTTCCATCCGCCCTCTGGGAGCAGAGGCCACGCAGACGGGCACCCCCATCCCGGGGCTGTGAGGGGACGCCCCAGGAGCGGCAGGAAAGCCGGGGGACCCGTCAACCCTGGGCTTTCTGGGGACTCGGCCGGGCTGAGCCAGGTGGCTGGTGGGGCAGGGGATGTGATGTCAGATACAGCACGTGGGTGGGAACTCCTTCCGTAACTTGGGGTCCCATCCTTGGATCCGGGCCCGGTCTCCACCCCCAGGTGGCATTGAGTTGTTTCGGGGGTTAGGACCTCCCAGTCACACGGGAGGGCCAGAGTCCCGCTCCCAGAAATCGTCCTGGAATGCGCCACCCCCCCCCCCCGAAGCGGGCGCAGGGGTCCGGGGGAGAGCTGTGGTCCGGGCGGCCGGGGGGCGGGTGTGAGGCCTGCGGGGAGCACGTCCCAGGCTGAGCTGGACCCCAGGGCGCGGAGCCCGGAGCCAGGCCGACGGAAGCAGCCTCGGAGCGTCTGACCTCGTGACAGAGCCAAAGACGGGCTTTACCACTGAGCCCCGGACCCCAAAGGCGGGAAGCTTCTGGAGCCGGACAAGGGCCTGAAGGACAGCGATTGTGTCCATCGGAAGGAGAAATAGGAGAACGGCCCAGAAACCCTGACCATGAAGGGGCTGGCGCAGCTGCGGGCCACAGCCTGTCACCGAGCGGGCCTCCGGCACACTCCAGGCAGCCGCGGGCACAGGGAGATGGAGACTGTGAGGTTGACAGGCTTGTGGAACTTAGTTCCCGTCTGGGGGCTCCTCACAGAGCCACACAAGTGACAGGTCACATGCTGCCCGTCCGTCGGAAAGGGTGGGCCGCCAAGCTGTGCGCTGGGGGTGGGGCTGCGTGAAGGGAGGAGGGAACAGTTTCCGGTGGGTGGAACAGCATGTGTGAGACCCCTGAGGCAGGCAGGGGACGGCCGACTGAGTGAGGAGAGGTCCGAGCGGCGTGGGAATGCGGACGTCTGCTGAAGGTGCGGATGCTCCGTGAGGTCACCGAGGCCAGGTCACAGGAGCCCCTGGACCACGTGCACGATGTGGATTTTGTCTGCGTGGTGGTGGCTGGTGGAGGGACACAAGCGAGGTGACATTCTGGTGATGTTCCTGGGCTGCGAGGCTGTGGGGGTCGCCCGCTCTCCCCAAGGCCAGGCTGGAGGGGAGGGGGAGGTGAGCCCACGCGGGAGGCCAGCCTCCGAGAAGCGGGGCAGCCAGCCGGCCTGGAGGGCCGAGGTCAGAGAGAGCCGGGAACGGCGGTGTCCAGATGCATCGTTGTGGAAGCCGCTCGCGGGGGGTGTCGCGGACTTTCCCGGAACGGGCTCTGTCCTGTCCTTTCCGAAAAAGCGAAAAAACTTGCGCAAGCTGGAAACGAAAAGACCTTTCCTCTGGGACAGTGAGGACAGCGCACAGAGGCCCGGGAGGCGCCGGGGCGTGTGTTTGGGGGGCTAGACCAGACCTTTCTGTCCCTCTCTCCCTCCATCCCCCCCCCCCCCCCATCATAAAGCCATTGACATCAGAGGTCAAGGCCGGAGTGTCCGCTGAGCTCCGGGCCTGCTCGGACTCTGCCCCGAGGCTGCCCTTTCCTGAGGCCACCTCCTCTCTTGCCCTGGGAGCCGCAGGACTGTCAGCCCCCCACCCCGTGGACAGGCTGCTGCTCTTACCATCACGATGCCCACCTGTGTCTGACGGGGGAGGTGCTGCCCGGCCCTGCCTTTCTGGGGCCCGCCATCACCCACAGACACAGCGAGACCACCAGCTCCTGACCACAGAGAGCTCACTCGTGCCTTCACCAAAGGAGTGTCCCCGCGGGCAACCCCGGGTGGGCCCTGGGATCTCAGGTGACAGCCCACAGCTCCTCTGGGCCTTCTTCTGCCCTGGGAGGGGTCTAGGGTGTGCATCCCGGGGTGGGTCTCGGGGACGGGACGGCCGTGCTGGACAGGACGGCAGGCACCTGGGCGGGTGATTCTGTGCTCACACACGATGGTCACCGTGCACGCCTGGCCTTGGTGGCCCCGGGACCGTCACGGCCATGTCGGAGGCTAACCCAGAAAGCCCTGGTTGCTTAAACGCGTGGCTGACGCATCCTGGCAGACTGGAGATCAAGCCCGCGCTGTGGGAGCCGCCGAAGGACTCTAATGAGAGTGATAGTCCAAAGTGGCTGCTTACGGGAGGGTTCGAGGGTGGCCTAGAGTTTCCCGAGTTAAGGTGCCGCAGGACGTTTGAGCCACTCGGGTAGAGTGTCCCGCCAGTCTCTGTACAGCTCGGCCCAGGGTGTGTTTATGCACTAAGAGGACTCGGGTGCCACCAAGTGGCCATCCTGGGGACATCAACGCCCGTCGCCACGGAGCCACCAGTATCTTTTCCTTCTGTGGGAGCAAATCTCTGCATTTGAGTTCAATCTTTCCGATTTCAAAGTGAGAAAACCCACGAGATGTCTTGCTTAGCAGTGAGCTGACACTTTCCCCTTGGGTTTGAAACTACTCATTCTGTGCGCGCTTCAGCTCCAGTCCTGCCGATGCTTCTGGTAAGTCACTGATTTCCTTCTTGCGTTAGGGTAACAGAGAGGGCGAGGCATCCCTCTGCGGCGACACCAGATCGTGAAACCCTGGAGGCCGATCCGTCATCAGTGTGGCTGGTGACTCCACCTGTGAGGTCCCGGAGCCACATGCCCCCTGAGGCCCCGGAAGACACAGCCCTGAGCTGCTCCCGAGCTTGGCCCTTAAGGTGGGAAACAGACTTCAATTTTTTAAAAGATAGGGACGGGCCACGGAAAGGACCACAACAGGGCTGCTATGGGAGTGTGGGTCATGGGGACTGGTGTTCTGTGATGTGGAAAACCTTAAATTTCCTCACTGCCTCCAGCCCCTGGACAAGTCCCTGGGACAGGCAGAGTCACCGCCCTCTGGGAGCCCAGCTGCCTCGATGATGACACTTCGCTAAGGGCAAAAGGCGATCTTAGCTTGACCTCATCCCGACCTCCGGGATCCTGTAAGTGTCCTTTATCGCGTAAAAATCCCTTCGGAAACGTCCTTCACCTCTACCCCCCAAGATATAAGGTAGCAATCAGACTCCAAGCGTAAAGTCCCCTGATACGCATCTGAAAGGTCTCATGACTGAGGGTTTGCTAAACGGTAATACGTGACCTTTTCCCAACAATAGTGAGCCCTCTCGGGGCCCTGGAAACCTTGCTCCCAAATCCCTTGGAGGCCTGTGCTGTCCCCAGCCCCCTCCCGACTTGGCGGTGGGTAAGCAGTCGCTTCTCACAGTTCTTCCTGCCCACGGACCTGCCCCCGTGCTTTAATAAATCACCAAAGATGTCTCCAGAATTCTTTCAGGAGACTTTTTGTCGCACAGGGTTTCGCGACTGTTTGCTCTGAACCCCAATATCTCCACCTCCTTCTGGAGTGGAACAGGTGTCCCGTTGTCACAGCTCCCCACCCAACCCCCGACCAGGCAGCTCAGCTGAAGGGTTTCTAAGGGAGCAGCTGACAATTAGGCGGAAAGTGGGCAGTAGCAGAATCTCCAAGGTGCCCCCCTGGCTAGTCGAGCAGAGCCGGGCTGTGATTTGGAGGGAAAAAAAGGCTCCTTCCTAGGAGGAAACCCGTGGAGAATGAGACAAGCAGAGGCCACTGTGTGCTGGGAGCCTTGCCTGGGCTTGATCACAAATTAGGAAGGGTTTAGCATGGTTTTAGGGATGCCCCACTCCGGATTTTAAAAACTGCAGTTTTAAAAATTCTCCAGACAGCAAGGTCAGTTGGGTGTATTTGTGCGAATCTATTTCTGGGTCCTTTGCTCTG